TTCTGAAGTATGTTCCCACTGGCCAATTTAATGCGACCTTCTTTCCCCACTTAACAATCTCAGGGCAGGTGACTTTTTGAAGTTGGCTTGCATCCCACCCACAGCATCTGGGTCCCCCAGTGGTGTCTTATGGAACTTTAAATAAAACCACTCTGCCTCCCTCTGATAGTGGGAGAGGCCAGAGGCCACCTCTGGCCACAAGCTGATTCACACCAACAACCGTCCAGTCAGCGCTTTCAGCTCTGGTCAGCAGCTGTCACCACTCAGCCTCCTCTGAGCACATTCGAATTTCACAGACCCCTGCCTTTTCCTCTGGTTGGCTCACCCCAAATTTTCTCTTTCACCAGCATTTTCAGTGTCTGCACCTGGCAACCAGGAGCAGTGATCGCTTGGAAGCCTACCAAATGCAATTAAAGGCATCTCTTCCTTGGCTTGGTGCATGTTTGTTGAGTGTCTGTCTGCCAGGCTGTTTGGGTGGCTAGACATGGTTTCTCAACGTGAGCTCACCTGGGGAAGGCGGGAGGACAGATCTGCAGATCATCACAGGGCAGCGAGATGCTAACAGGGCTGTAGTCAGGGTGCCCCAGCTAGCTCCACGGATCTCTCATTATTTTAGAGAACCTTCCAGATTCTTACAGATTTACCAGCACCCCGCCACATCCCTGTGTGCCATTCCCCTCCTGTCAGGCTCTGTTCCTCTGTGCAGCAAAGCTGAGCACAGATCCCCAACAGCATAGCACAGGGAACAGCTCCTGGTGCTTTTTACAGGAACTCTCCAGAAATGTAGCCACGTAGCTACCACTCCCTTCTGGCAGGGACCAAACTTCCGAATCAAGGAATGTGGCAGCAGCTCCAAAGTGTTTTTTTAAAGACTCTCCCACAGCACCCCCACCCCACCCCCAGTACATAGGACACCCCTCATTTAATTTTTTCATGCAGGAAACACACAAACTGACCTCTAATGATAGTTGTGTGAGATGTCTCAGATGTTGTGGATGCATGCAACTAGCTCTGCCAGCTGTTGGATCCCCCTCTCCTCCAGATGTTCTCCCCCTCAGCCAATTACTGCCTCACTCAGGTCCCCAGGAGCACGTCGTCTGCAGCTATGGCCACTTCCTCTGGTCCCAGCTCAGCTCATGCCCAACTCTTGTTTACTCTTCTTCCCGGAACCTGAGTAACAGAAACCTCCCCGTCCAGAACGACCCAGGCACCCCTCTTCCCCGAGCTTCCTCCGCTCTGAGCTAGGGTGGATGTGTTGAGAGCAAGAGGCACGCAGGACAGGGTGAGCGATCCTTGTCCTGATTTTATCCTTGACTCACAAAGGGAGATTTTTGTAGGCTGGCCAGCGCTGGTGAGAGAGAACAGGCTGGCTAGCTGCTAAGTTAGGAGGAGTTCACTGTGAACTGTGAGGAGTGCACTCCTTGAGTCTGAGCAATATTTGGAGTCTGAAAATAAAGCATCCTATCAAACAAGGAAGACCTTGAAGCCGTGGAGGATTGTTGTTGTTGTTGTTTTCCTTCCTAGCACGTGACACAGCCGTGGGCACATGGAAAATACTGAGTAGAGGCAGGGGTGCATTTGTGGCCAGGAGCCCTAGAGGCAGGTGGAGCAGGCTTTGCCCCAGCCTCACTACTCATAACCATGGGATGTTGGCAACACACTTGCTGGCATGGGTGTCCTTTCGGTGGTATAAGGGTTTAGTCAGTCATTTGACAGGTATTTATTAAAGACTTTGAGTAGCATTGGCAAAAATGGAAAAAATGAATGATTTTTGGAGAAAAAAGTGAGGGTAAAGCTGACAGGACCTGTTGAAGGCAGCATGTGGCCATTTTGGCATCACCATTGTGTGGTTGGCAGCTGAATGTTGGGATGAAGAGAGACTTCCCAGTGATTGAGAATCCACGGAGAGGAGAAGAGGCCCAAGCTGAGCCCTGGGTGCGGAGAGGGAAGCTGAGGAAGGGGATGGGGGTGGGAAACGACACTCAGGGCAAGGGACCAGTAGACAGAGATGCCCACTGAGGCTTTTAGACTCAGTTTACCGCCACAGGTTCAACAAACAAAAAGGAAAGACATGAGACACATTTGACAAAAGAATTCCTTGGGGAGCGCGCATTTCAGCAGGGTTTTTGTTAGCCTACAACGATTTCAGTAAGACAAGTTTCCAATCAGAAACTGCTTCCAGCTCAAGACTGCCAGAGAGCCAGGCCTTCACACCATTCCTGAGATATCACCGGTTTTGCAGGAAGCCTCTCAGACCCCATGAGCAAGGGTCTGATGCATCTCATCTTTCCATTTGCTCAGCCTCCTTCAGGAAGGCCAGAGTCACAGCTTTGCTACAACCTTCTAAGCTAAAAACAAAACAACTGCCTGCCCCCTAGCAGTGGTCTACGTGGGCTGTGGAAACCCTTGTACTTCGATGGGGGTGTGCACGATGTTAACTGTGCCTCCCAAGCCCTGGTGTCGTCTATGCTGATAGGTGGCTTTCACTTGAGGAAGAGGCTCAGCCCACAACATATTTGGGATTTGGAGATAAGCTTTCATGGCTGGAATCAAGAAGTTCCAACCTAACATGTACTTCTCTGCTCACCCCCCCCACCCCCGCCGCATCCTATTCACATTTTTCCAATACTCATGGATAAAGAAGAAAAGCATTCTCAAAATGACAGACTCAAAGTCTTGGAAAAATATGGTTGGTTTAGTTTTTTTTCCTCTTTTTGTCCTTCTTTGTGTAGACATCTCCATGTACAGCCTGTGTAGACCAGTGACTTGGGAGAAATGAGGTCATTTTGACACAGAAGTTAACTGTTCCAGCTGTGTGGGCTTGGCAGCACATACTAATATGGGACAGACTACATCAACAGGGATTACTTCCCCCAAGTGTCAGCCTCGTACAGGCCATCAGGTTGTCACCAGGCCAGTGAGCTCTGAAATTTCTCTTTGGGTTCTCTGTTCAGACTGGCTGTTTCTTGTTAACGCCACTTGCAGCTAGGATGGATCTTACAGTTCCTCTGCCACCACTGTCCCCAGTGTCCCTCACACCCTTTTCAAGAAGCAAGTTTGCAGGAGACATAAAATAGGAGATGAGTGATTTATGACAGGTGACATAGGTGCCTGGCTTTGGACTGGCTTACTTACACAGTCACACCTCACACAGGCCTCTCTGTATGCTTGTAAAGCATATAGGTATTTAAAATATGAAAACTAGGTTGAAAGTAAACTTGGGAAACACCTCGAGTAAAAAGCTAAGTTGTCCAACCAGTGTTTTCAGCCCCGTCAGCAGTGGCGGCAGCAGTCCGATCAGGGTGCGTGTGGTTCATAGGGCAACTCTGGATAGTCCTTCTGGACTGAGGAGTAGAAAAAAGAGAAGCCCTTGGCCATGACTTGCAAGGGGAGGGACAAATCACAATCACATTATAGACTTTGTGTGAAATTCCCACGGTGAGAGGACATGGGTTTGTACACAGGCTTCCCGGGGTGACAGGGTAAGAGTGCCAGGAGCCAGCACTCGGGCATTCGCGGGGTGCCAGGGCCAGTGTATGCAGGGGTAGACTGGCCTCAACCTCTAGCTCCGCTGCTCCTGAGCTGCAGGGACCCCTGCCAGCAATCCCCCCTCTCCAGGACTCAGTCTGCTCCTCTAGAAAATAGGGCAGCATCATTTTCCTCCTAGAAATGGCTCGAGGCCATGGGGTACTAAGGTATGTGACTTCTCTTGACAAACTACAAAACACTGTGTACTTTTATTTATTTTTTAAAGATTATTTATTTATTCATGAGAGACACAGAGAGAGAGGCAGAGACACAGGCAGAGGGAGAAGGAGGCTCCATGCAGGGAGCCCGATGTGGGACTCGATCCCAGGACCCCGGGTTCATGACCTGAGCCAATGGCAGACACTCAACCACTGAGCCACCCAGGTGTCCCAACATTGTGTACTTTTTAAAAATGCTTTCAGGGCATTATTCAACCCCAAAGCAACTCTATAAAAGCATCTTTGTTTTACAGGTAACTTAGCTGAGAATTGCAGACTAAAAGATCCAGTGTGTTACACTGCACATGAAGTTGATAGCTCACTTTTTAAAATACCCTACAACTATTGAAATAGTGGGGGCATTCCTTGGGAAACAGTTGTTATGGGATGGGAGAGCAAGGGATTATCCCTCTGTCCTAGAGCAGGCCCCTGTGACCTCTCTCTACGGCCACTGACGAGAGAGGTGGTCACTCAGTCCCACATGCACACACATGCACATGTGGACACTACACATGCACACACACGTGCATGTCCACACGCACACACACTTATACATGCATGCACATAGGCAAGCAAGAGGCCCAGCACTTAACATCGCATCTTAAGGGAGGACTGTTCTGTGCATCTCAGAGGCGTCTTTTAAAAAGAGGGAAACCTTGACTTTTCTCATCGTGATGAGAATTTGAGTTCCCATTTCTTTAAGCTGCTGTTTGAGAAGAATGCGTGTTCTGGGTTTTTCAAGACAGCCAAGTTCTGTTAAAAGAATGATCCCATTCTCGAAGTGTCTTCATGTTAAGCATTTCTCTGAGTGGTGCATTTGGAAGTAAGCGGTGTGATGTGATTTTGTGATGCGGTCGACCCTTGAACAACACCCCGCTTGGGGTGCGGGGCCGCTGATACACACGCACAGCGCTGTGAATGTGTTTTCCTCTCCTCGTGATTTGCTTAATAACGTTTTCTTTATTGTAAGAGCACAGTATATGATACACGTAATGTGTGAAATACGTGTTAATGGACCGTGCGGGATGGGTAGGGCTCCCAGTCCACAGGAGGCTGACAGGAGGTGGTTTCGGGGGGTCAGCGTGAGGTGGGGTCCCAGCTGTGTGGCTGTCAGTGCCCCAAGCCCCCGCACCATTCAAGGGCCGACTGTGTTCCCAGGGTACTGGGGAGCGGCGGGGGGGGGGGGGGCTCCCTCGTGTAAAATGACATTCTATTAACTGATTTCCTTATTTTTTTCTCTGCCTCTCATTTCAGAACGGTTTGATCACCACTGTCCCTGGGTAGGCAACTGTGTGGGCAAAAGAAACTACAGATTTTTTTATATGTTTATTTTATCTCTGTCTTTTCTGACAGTCTTTATATTTGCATTCGTTATCACCCACGTCATTCTTCGTAAGTATGCTGGCGAAATCAGATTACGTATGCAACCATTTGCCTGCCTTTGCTTTTCTGATTTAATTTTGAGTTAATATTTTGATCATTTCGGGCTTTCTCTTTCTTCTCTTATCCTCTTCCTGTTCCTCTCCTCACTTCCAGCCTGCCCCTTTCATGCACTCTTCTTCCCCTCCCTGTCCTCCCTCCCTGTCCCCCTCTCTCCTCCCTGTCACCCCTCCCTGTCCCACTCTCTGTCCCCCCTCCCTGTCTTCCTTCCCTGTCCCCCCTCCCTGTCCCCCCCTCCCTGTCCCCCCTCCCTGTCCTCCCTCCCTGTCACCCTCTCTTCCCTCTCTCCCTGTCCTCCCTCCCTCCCTGTCACCCCCAACCCCCTTCTCTGTCCTCCCCCTGCCCTCCCCCATCGTTCCTTCTACTCCCCATTCCTCATCCTTCCAGCCACAGCTGCCAGGTCACCCAGATAAGGTTCTCTTTCACTTACAAGACTTCTTCCTTGATACACTTGCCCCTGTTCCAACCTCAAGGACCTCACTTTCTCTTTTGTGAAGGGATCCCTTGAAAGAGTCATTCCCACATTTTGCACAAAGGATAATGTGCTGCAATGATAACCATCAAACAGAAGTTTTGTTTTTAACGTGACACCAGCTTAAGTGAGAACAGTCGCCATCCCTAGGAAACAATGTCTGGGGATAAAGACTGGGTCTCCTCACACGCATGCACACACACACACACACACACACACACACACACATTGAAGATACATGATTGAAAAGATTTTCAGTTATCTGCTTCACATTAGTAAATCCCTGCAGGAAGGAACTTCATTAAAAATGAGATTTGGAATAGGAAGGATTTTACTAAGTACTTGCCCAAGCAAATGCCATCTTCCTTTCCCATTCTCAAGGTCATAACTTCAAATTTCCTTTGTCTCTTGATTATCGGCTTTCCAACAACAGGGAATGATGAGAAGGAAGTGAATTGGCTTTGACCTAGGAATTTAAGCCTTTAAACTTCCATCCCAGGGCCATTAGCGACCCTGCAGGCCAGCAGTGCCCCTGTCCACACTCCTGAATCACATCCACCCACCAGCAAGCCTAGAGCTCCCTCCTGCAACGTTCGGGGCAGTTTCTGGCTTCAGCCTCACTGGCTTCCCCTGCAGCAGTACTGAAGCCACAGATGGGGTGTGCTCAGGCTGGAGTCACCTTCTGCCTCTCTTGGTGGCGTCAGTTGGGGCCTGGGGCAAGTCAGCAGTATGGAGAGTTTGTTGGCCAGATTTGGACATTACATGGGATCTCCCATGTTTTCATGGCGTTTTAAAACTTAGGTCCCTTCTTTTTGACTGGAATCCCTCCATGCAAATGTGACACCAGTTTGTAATCTATGCTTGAGAGCCAGGACTCAGTGGGATCCCAGGAGGAGGATGACCATTCAGTCATGACGGGCCCTTTCCACAGTATTCGTGGCCCCACAGAGGCACCTTTTCTCTCTAATTTCAGAGTTAAAAAGTGACAAAAATGCAGCCAGGGTCCTATCTGTGTGTTAATAGACCAAAGAATCAGAAACAAGAATAAATAAGCACCAAGGCTGTAGCACATTTAGGACATAAAAAAATAGCACTTAAAGTTGATGTTCTTATATCATCTTTAGCAACTTCAGAATTCTTTCCTATGTATGTTATTGAAATGTACTTATGGCTTCACCCCTGCATTCTGGACATCAAGTGCTGGTTTTCACTTGCATGCTTGCACATGTGAGCTCTGGGAACACACACACACACTCAGAGTGAAGCCTTCCACTACCACCACAGTTGGGTGATGTACACTTCACTATCATCTCCCCTAACATCTTAGTCACCCAAGATCCAGCAAAACAGAGTTTGCTGTAGTTTATGCCTATATATTGTTAATCCCATTCCTCCACAAAAAAAAGTTCAGAATTTATCTGCTTACAAGTTACCTGAATATGTCGAACAAAAGCAAATACGGATTGTCCTCCCCCCTTGTTATGCACCACCCACAACCCCCACACCCTGCCTCAACAACCCCACATACCCCCTGACTTGGCTCGGCACTCAATGCTCTCAGGAAAGGCAGGTTTTTACGTGCCTCCCATGATCCCCTAAGATTCTGAAAACATTGGCAAAGGCAGAACACTGTTTGAGAGCAGTTGGAGAACTGTCGCCTGAGTTCTCCCTGCCAGGTAACAGGATCTGGGAGGGGGTGAGGAGCCATGACAGGAAGGGGGACCCCGGAGGAGAATCTGGGGAACCTGACAGCCAGGCATTCTTATCAAGAAAACAAGAAAGGAAAGTTTGGGAAAGTGAATGAGCTTGGGTTCAGTAGGGGAAGAGAAGTCATTTCTTCTAGTGTCCTCATTTGCCTCGAGAGTGTGTTTGCTCTACGATCTGCCCCAGCCCGCTTGCTGGTTTTGTGCCCCCTGCCCCCGGCCTAGCTGAGATGGAAGAGAAAGCCTTAAGCTTTCCTTATTCATTTCCCCCACTCTTTAGCATCCTAGCGCCCGGCACATCCTTGTGCCTCAGTAGTGGCCAGTGGGGAAGACAGGGGAAATGGGACCCTGAGGACAGATGTGAGCACCCCACTCTCCGCCTTCCCATGGCTGGACCTGGTTCCCACTTACACAGAGCGATCAGGGCCCCTGCCTCGACTGCCCTGTGTGGCCACAGCAGCACAGACACTGTCTCCCTTCTCCCTGTTTCTCTCGTTGCTGCCCCAGGCTGGGTGCTATCCCCAAAACACAGTTTCATGCCGCCCCAGGACAGGAAGGCCAAGAGTTCCTCCACATGGGCCTTTGTGTTTAAAAACCATGAAGCCAGCACATAAAAATGGCTTCTTGTCAGATGCCTCTTTACTCAAAGCCCTAGAGAAATTTCTTTGCACGAACTATTCACTCTTAAAGGAGTGAGTAATAAACTCCAGCTCTCTGAGTTTATTTACTCTGGGTGCAGATGAAGACGTCTTTTATATGTAGCCTAGTATATAGCATGTCCGAGGTCAACAGTTAACAAACTTAGGAAAAACAGTCTTTCATAAAAGAAGAGGAAAAAAATAGCATACAGTATTCTGTTTTCCTATTAAAATGAGGAAAACAAAGGGGTAATCAAACTATAATTTATGGGAAAGTATGCAGACATCCATCTGCTTTTATTGAAAAAATATCCTGCAGATGTTGGGTCTAATTATGAATCTGCCATTTTCTTGTTGAATAACTTCAGTGGAATCTCAATCCCTGATCAGCATACTGGGTGCCGTAGCACAACAAAATATAATTGTTTAATTGATCTTTAGACACCTATTATTTTTATGTAGATGAGGGAGCTTTCAACACGAAGGCTGTTTTTCTGGAGGTGAATGTTTTTAAATGCTAAACTTTGGTTTCATTTCCACAGGTTCACAACAGACAGGATTCCTCAATGCTCTTAAGGACAGTCCTGCAAGATATCCTTTCAGGTTGCCCTGTTTTTCACAATGCTAATGTGTTAAGTATTGGGCTGACTTTCTACTCAATGAGCTCTTCATCTGTGCCTTGGCTTTTCTTCTCAGAAATTGTATTCTCTTTCATTCCATCCAAAAAAACAAAAAACAAAAAACCCTATATTCATTGCCCATGAGTAGTCATGTCTGAATGCTTGAACCTCAACATGACTCATTTAGGCATGTTTAAATTGAAGTGCTCTTTAGCTAGAAAGCCAAGTGTAAATTCTTGTTCACCCTGCATTGATTTGTGTTAAATCAGGTTGGTTGGGGAGAAGGGCTTGCAAGGTCCAGCTGACCTCATTTTGATCCCTGCAGAGTATTTATAGATGCCCCTGTATGGGTCACCTTCTCGCCGTGAGGTCACCAGATGGGAATCCTCTGACCCCCTCTATAGATTCCTTCTGGGTGTGCCTTTGTCATGCCTTCAGGCAGTCCAGATAACCTTTATTATTTCCAGGAAGAGAACACTTTTTCTCAGTCTTGAATGGACTAAAGATGGTCAATCTCAAGTCAATTGGATTAATCCCATCCTACCAAAGAGTATGTATGGGCACGTGCCATCGTATTTTGAACTTCTTGAAAGAAAAATGTTCACCCATGATGTGCTTGAATGGGCTCCCTGCCTCACTTGTCCCCCTAAGTTTCATGTTCATTACTGTAGAGTTGGCCTCCTGGACCCATTGACCTGGCTCCATCTGGGATCCAGCTCTCTTTCTTTTTCATATAACCAAGTAGTCTGGACTTGAACTTCTCATTACTCCCAGAAGTAATCTTCATCTTGTGGAAGAGAATCCTTAAACAATGAATGAAGAACTTTACTAAGATGTACATATCTTGTACCTGCCTCATGTCCCTAGGAGCTGGGGTACACAGTGTGGACCTGGTGTGTGTGTGTGTGTGTGTGTGTGTGTGTGTGTGTGTGTGTGATATTAAGATACCTGAAAACAAATGTGGTCTTGTATGTATTTGAGTTATATAAAGTATCTCCTTTTTGGTGCTTCTGTGTTTACAGATAGCACAGAATATTGTTTGGAGGTACAGATTCTATAGTCAACTGATTTCTTACAAAGGGGACAGGGACACAGGGACATATGGAAGAAATACAAGGGGGACTTGAAGAATACATTTTACAGGTATGTCCTGTCTTCTGTTAAAGGAGGCAAGAGCTAACTATAAGTTATCCAGAAAGAAAGGTAGTCCTGAGAATGGAATTCTCCATGTTCATGGCTGCTAAGAACACCCATGGGAAATGTCATTCTCCATCCTTCTCCCCAGCCCTGCCAGGGGTGACCCCCTCTGCCATCATCTCTGTGCCCTTCTATTTTCAAGACATGTTGCTTTGGCATATCTTACAGTCAAGCTTTGTCTTTTTTTCCCAGAAAAAGAGGCTCAGCTGTCTTTCAGGAAATTGGTCACATCGTGAAAACATGCTGGTCATGTAGCATTTTATAATATAGTTTGCTGCTGGCAGGGCTTCGTGGTGTCTATTACAGACCACCCAACTCATGGATCTTAATTATTATTATTATTATTATTCATTCATTCATTCATTCATTCATGAGAGACACAGAAAGAGAGAGGCAGGGACATAAGCAGAGGGAGAAGCAGGCTCCCTGCAGGGAGCCTGATGCGAGACTTGACCCCAGGACCCTGGGATCACAACCTGAGTCAAAGGCAGAATCTCAACCACTGAGCCACCCAGGTGTCCCCCCAACTCATGGATCTTATCATATCATATCATGAGGAAGGACCAAGTAGCGAGTCCTGGCTTCCTGCTACCCTCACAATTAATTAGAGATCTGAGGTTATTTCTTTCAACCCTTTTGTGTCTTGAAGTTTTTGACCTGCAAGAGTCAGCCACTCTGTACTTGACATGCTATGGTGACAAAATCAGTTATATGGAATATGAGTGAGAACACCCAGCATAGGAGCATTGTTTACGTGCATGACAGGAGTGAAGGAGCTTTCAAAGAAGCTTCTTTTTGTGGCAATATGTGCAATGGGTGGTCTCTGCCAGAACCTTCTTTTAGAGCACACACGTCTGCTCATTCTCATGATTTGGCTGTGCCCATAGTGGGTATAATCAAGAGCATTGTGTTCCCAGGAAGGAGAATAGACAAATGCTGATAGAAAAAGCAGCATGCTGACTTTGCTGGAGAAACAGTTTGTGTGGAAAGGAGAAGAAAGAGAAACACTCTTCCTAGGTTCAGGCTATTTTCCCTGGAAATATCGTTCTCAGGTAGAGGTAAAGAGTTTTTGCTGTGGTCCCGACTTTGAAAACTCACAAAATCTCAGCCACTGCCTTTCCAATGGTGTTGCCATATCTAGATGCCAAGGTTTTTGCTTTGTGGGTGTCACCCAGGCATGTCCTCCACATTCTGGAGCTTGGCAGCCACATGGTCCAGTGAGAGCCAGCGACGCCACAGCCCACTTTGAAGGCATGAAGGCCCCTTACGGCATCCAGACACAGCTGCTGGATGTCCTACCTATTCCAGGCCAGCCCTCCGTCAGCACAGCCGCAGCATGCGCCCAGCTGTATTTTGGAGGCTTAAAGCAATATAAATTAATTGTTGTGCCACTCTGTAGGTCAGAAGTCCAGCAGGCTTGGCTTTTTTCTGCTCTGGGTCCCACAGTGCTAAAATCAAGGTATCACCAGCCTGGACTCTTATCCAGAAGCTGCAGGGGGGGTCCTCTCTTGGGCTGGTTCAGGCGGTTGACCAAGTTCATGGGCTACAGGACTAAGGCTCCTTTCTTTGCTGCTTTCTCTGATTCATTTCTTCCTTGCTCTTCAAAGCCAGCAGCAACGGGTCAGGTCCCTCCCACATTTTGAAGCTCTTCTGCCTCTCTTCCACCCATCATTCTGACCTCAGCCAGAAAAGCTCTCTACTTTTTAAAGAGTAGCCGCAACCTGAGAATTCAGGATAATCTTCCCATCTCAGGGTCTGTGACCTCCAGTCTACAACTCCCTTTTGCCATGTAGGTGATGTATTCACAGATGCCAAGGATTAGGACGTCTTTCTGTTCTGTCAGCCCCACAGGCCTTTGGGGAGGAGGTGCCCTGGAATCAGGCACTCAAATGCAGGCTGATTTGAGAGGATTTCTTTCTAGACCCATCCATGAAGCTCTCTAATGATCCAGCTCACTTCTGAGTCTATGTCTGTCCCCCCTTTCTTTTCAACCTTGGTGTCACTCTAGGAGGGGGGCGGACAGAGTTGATGGGTTAGTATGTATGTACACAGACACACACACATACCACATATACGGTGTATGTGTGTGTACATATATATGTATATGTATGTATGTACACACACACACGTGTGTGTGTGTGTGTGTGTGTGTGTGTCCTCTCCTGAAGTCAGATTTTGTGGCACTTTTTAATCCACTGTCATTGGGCTCCTGCTGGTAAAAAGGTGACCTAAAGCTGAAGCCAGAATATCCCAGGGCAGCTACCAGAGCTGACATAAAGACTGTCTGATTTTCTCCCAGAGAAAATTGGGGACCAAGAGCAAGATGCCAGGGGGAATGTGACAGCACAGCAGCCCAGCAGGATAGAGATGGGTGGGGAGATGATGGGAGCAGCCTGAACAGCAGTCCCAATTTGAATCTTCTTCACTCCTTCTGGAAGCGGTGGAAAACTTTAGGAACATCAGACTTACCCATACTAAAAAGTGAGGTGCTGGTTTTTTTTTTTATTACAAAGAACATTAATTGTTTCATGTGCCACTGGCCACTCCTCCCCTGATTGCTATGACTGCCTACAGGCTCTCTGTGCTGATGGGTTTTCTCTGTTTTCAATACCTGCTTTGAAGAAGAATCCCTCCTTCTATCAAGTGGGTCTAATAAGAAGCATTGAGGTCTGGTGATTTATCATGAATTTGTATTCCAGAAGAAAAAACATGCTTTGGGTTCTATGAGGTTGTGCTGTGTTTTTGAAAAAAATATTAAGTTCTGGTTATTAATCATAATCTATGTGTGGTAAGGCTGGATCCCATTAGGATATCTGTTCAGTATTTTGAGCTCCTGCCTTTCCTGGGGACACACGTGTGGCTTTGGAAGTGGTAGGGGATGGCCAGGCAGTGTTTCCAAGGGGCTGTTTTCAGCTCCCAGAGAGAGGGGTGCTCACCACTGGGGCAACAATGAGGTCACAGAGACTAGGGGTGGCCCACAAGAGGGTGAATCGTGCCAGCCGGTGTGGTAGGAGGTTCTAGCATCAGATCATGTTAATATGTCCAAGCTCCCTCCCATTGCTGAGGCCCTGAGAGTTTGGGAGTCTCTTTGGAGGTGGTCAATTTCTGATGATGAGGCTGATCTGTGACACTTCACACTCATGGAGACTGTTCTCTGGCTGACGACCCTGCTGCCCTGAGCTCATCCTCTCCAGTCCTGTAGTCTGTGTGGAACAGGAGTCCATACCACACCAAGTTCTTAAAACAAGAGATTTTCTGGGGAGTTGCCTGAGCACCCATGTAGCCTCTGCACGTGACCCGAGTGTTCTCGGCAAGAAAGTAACTTAAGTTTAAAATTTTTCAGTGGCCTCCCATCTGATCTTCTGACCGTGGTGTCAAAATATCCTGATGAGGAATCAGGACACAGGCAAAGGTTTTTCTCCCAGTGGATTTACCGCAAAAGATCCAATTAAAAGCCATGTCGTGGAGGAAATGAGAGAAATTAGAAATTAGAAATTTCTAATTAGAAATTAGAAATTAGAGAAATTACTAATTAACAAGTAATTGAGACAACTTCTCAGAAATACTGACACAAATGATGGAAACAACTGAAGTGCCTCATGGGGCCTGTGTGACAGCAGCAGGACCTCAGGAGAAAGGAACCCATCAGCTCACTCAGTAAGTAGTCTGGACTGGACGGTGTCTAGTTTGAGTGGACAGAGCTTGGAGGAGGAGGAGGGGGAGGAGGAGGAGGACACACAGGGAAGAGCCAGCAAGCCCGCCCCAGAGCCCACC